CCACACCCACACACACACGCACACACACACACACACACACACACACACACACACACGAAACGTGACAACAGGAAAACTGTACAGAGAACCCCCGTTTTATGGTGGGGGAATACATTGCAAAACCCAACCGCAGTGGGTGAAAATGCCCAATATACCAGGAGAGTCACCATATGAAAGTGACCCCAAAATAAACATACCTAAAAATATCACTGGTTTGTATTCACTGAGGCCGCTCTGGGTAAAATTGGACTTTTGTCAGCTCAAATGGATTTTCGATTGCATTTCAGTGGAAATCAGTTCTTATGTAAATTTTGGCCATTCGTGGGCCGGGTCGGTCCCAATCCCCTCGAGAATAGCGTGTCTCAACTGTAGTTGAGTAAACAGGTTTTTTAAAAAAAATTTGATTGGATAGATTGCTGCATCTTCTGATCAAATCAGTTGGTGATCGGTTCGCTTTTTTTTTTTTTTTTTGTTGAATGTCTTCTTTGCTTTGTGTTGTAATGTGGATAAAAAGACCAAAACCAAAGATATTTATTGGCAACAAATCTGCAATTTCGGCAAAGAAGAAAATATCGGCCGAGCAAATCAGCAGGGCCCCAAGGGCCCATGTATACAGGGACGCTTGCGGATAAAAACATGTTCCATTTTCGTTTAGATCAGGGGTCACCAACCTTTTGGATACTGATGAACGTGAAGGGCTCCTAGTTTGATACTGCTTCTCACAGAACACTTTTGCTCTCATTAGATTGAATGATACAGTATCTGATATTATTCATTCATTCATTCATTTTCCCATCCGCTTTATCCTCACAAGGGTCGCGGGGGGTGCTGGAGCCTATCCCAGCTGTTTTCGGACAGTAGCGGGGGACACCCTGAACCGGTTGCCAACCAATCGCAGGGCACACAGTTCACAGGGCATGTGGGAGAAAACCAGAGTACCCGGAGAAAAACCCACACAGGCCCGGGGAGAACATGCAAACTCCACACAGGGAGGCCGGAGCCGGGATTGCACTGTGAGGTCGACGCGCTAACCACTGGACCACCGGGCCGCCCGATATCTGATATTATTTATAGTTAATTGTCATTATTTATGCGACGACGCGGATCATGTGAATGCTTTCTTACAATAATTAGGAAACAGATCATGTGCAACACTTTGTGTTGATAAATCTCTTTCAGTGTTTACATCTCAATTATTATCACTGACAACCTTCCTAGAAAATGACCATGTCCTATCATTGATGAGCTATTTTTCCCAAACATGCCCGTGGGCTAATCATATGGTCCCTGGGGGCCACTTGGTGCCCACGGGCACCTTGGTGACGGCCTTTTGCGGGCTTGAATACGCAAACGTTTGGAACCACTCTCCAGATTGGAAACGTTGAATCCGCTCTGCCCTTGCGTTCCCATATACACGCCCCCAAATTCAAAACTCTGCTCATGTCATGTACGTGCTTGTCATGACAGGGAAGTAAACAAACATGTCTGACAATGTCCATCCGTCGGCCTTTCAAGCTGCTCTGGCTGCTTTAATATCCAAACAGGAGTCCTTCCAACAATTTTACTGACTCTTCTGCTGTTTCTTTGCTAGTAGCCGTCATTTTAGTTTTCGAGACGCAGATCATTGACGAAGAACGCAGATCAGAGACAAAGGGAGATTTTACCCATGCACACAGTCATGGCGGAGTTAAATCACTGCACCTCCTTGTTGTCTGCCATGCACACACACTCTTGCTTTACCGTATGCACACATTTTCTCTGATAAACGCGTGTCTAGACACCGAATAAAAAGTGGAGACAAGACGCCATTTTTTTGCACGTTCTGTTCAGATCGTCATTTTCTAAACAGGGCCTCATTCTCAATCGACTTGTTTAACGAGTGACCATTTTATGTCACTCAATTGTGTGATCAGCAAGCTTTATATCAGGAAGCTTGGCCATTTTGCTTGTGTTTTACTTAAAAAGTCAACTCCACTTTTCATGTTTCACTCTACTTATACAATATAAATAAATGAAAATGTAAATACATTTCTCTCTCTT